ATTCAAAACCCACGTTTGACTGCACGATCCCTCCAGAAAGATCTGGCAGACAGGAGTTGTGGTACACTATTCCACTATAAAGAGATATTTGTACAAATATGGTCTTCATGGAAGAGTCATCAGAAGAAAACCTCTTCTACGTCCTCACCACAAAAATCATCGTTTGAACTTTGCAAATGAACATATAGACAAGCCTGATGCATTTTGGAAACAAGTTCTGTGGGCCGATGAGGTTAAAATTGAACTTTTTGGCCGGAATGAGCAAAGGTACGTTTGGAGAAGAAGGGGCACAGAATTTAATGAAAAGAACCTCTGTCCAACTGTTAAGCATGGGGTTGGATCAATCATGCTTTGGGGTTGTGTTGCAGCCAGTGGCACAGGGAACATCTCACGAGTAGAAGGAAAAATGGATTCAATAAAATTTCAGCAAATTTTGGATGGTAACTTGATGCCATCTGTGAAAAAGCTGAAGTTAAAGAGAGGATGGCTTCTACAAATGGATAATGATCCTAAACACACCTCGAAATCCACGGGGGATTACATCAAGAGGCGTAAACTGAAGGTTTTGCCATGGCCTTCACAATCTCCTGACCTCAACATAATTGAAAATCTATGGATAGACCTTAAAAGAGCAGTGCGTGACAGACAGCCCAGAAATCTCAAAGAACTGGAAGACTTTTGTAAGGAAGAATGGGCAAAGATACCTCAAACAAGAATTGAAAGACTCTTGGCTGGCTACAAAAAGCATTTACAAGCTGTGATACTTGCCAAAGGGGGCAGTACAAGATATTAACTCTGCAGGGTGCCCAAACTTTTGCAGACACCATTTTTTTGTTTTCTGTTATTTTGAAAGTGTAAATGATGGAAATAAAATCTAACTTTTGTTGACATATTATAAGAATGTCTAATCTGTAATTTGATGCCTTTTGGAGATTTTTCCATCTTTCCTTGGCTTCTTTATGCACATTAATACAAATTTTTAGCAGCTGGGGTGCCCAAACTTTCGATCCCCACTGTACTTTGCATGGGTGAATAATTACCTACTTAGAGCTGTTCAATATTTTTTGTAGGAAGTTGTCCCTCCTTTCATTGATTCAAGCAAACTGGGCATCCCATAATCCCTATTTCCCTATTCAAATTGATTTCCGCTAATAAATCAACAAAACCAAGCCCACGGAATGGTTACTGTCTCTTAGATGCAAATTTGTGTGTGAAATACCTGTTGCCTGGCTGTGCTGAGAGAAACTTAGGGGTACCCACAACACAGCCGCTCTCATGAGGGTAGTGCTACACCCATAAAAAGGAAATCACATTCCAAAATAGCACTATGGATTAGAGTAGGTACCATTCCAACTTTATGGTCCTGGGTTCCCCAAGTGGTCTCAATGGTCAGTACAGCAGTGGGATCGTTTTTGAAATCCCCATGGATATAGACAACTCCCATAAAGTGAGCTTGTAGTTTCTGAGTGTCAACCAGGCTGACTTGCACAAGAGACTAGCAAAGTCCATCAAGACTATCACCTAATAGCCATCCAACTAACTTACACAAATCTGTCTCTCACAATGTATAATAAGATAAAGCAAACTCTGCACTAGTATACAAAAGTAATGCAAGTGTGCACAATAATCTAGCAATAACTATAAAAGCTGCACACAGAAAGGTTAATGTAAAAACTGTTGTACATAAATATATAACGACTTCATCACCTGAGTGGAATCTTCTTCTTCTGTGTTCTTAACAACATAGCTTCCATTGACTGTGTAGTATATAAATGAACTGTGTAAAAATTTCAGTCATCCATCAATAAGGTGTATAATGCCGCAATATAACTGAGACACCTTGGTGTGCCAATTAGAGATAAACTTGGGCATCCTCTGAGCTCATCTCTACCCAAACTCAAAACTCATGCTTGTTTTACTCCATTGAGCTGCATGCTGGATCATTCTATCCACACAGCCCACATCTCCTTTGTTTATGTGAGCTGCAGGGTAGAAATTATATGGCCTGCAGCTCATTGGAGTAGAAAAAAGAAGAGCAGCAGAGATAGGTTAGCAGGATGCCTGAGCTCATCCTTAATACCAATTTCCACCACCACCTCTGAATATGGCCAAAAGGCTAATCAGAGGGATGCTAGAGATCAATATACACCTATATATTGTATAACACGAATACAGAATGTTCTTAAGCTGGAAACAGCCATCATCCACCAGTCCAATGATGTACCAACAAATACTCCTCAGGTGTCCCCAGAACACATACGGTAAACAGCAAAGCTACAATGGCACATTTTATCCAAATGCCAATTATTAAAATCCATTGACACAAAATAGCACAAAAATGATACAAGTAACACTGCCACAGCCCCTGAAGATGTCTGTGGGTGATGAAGCACAAAAGGCAGAACTTTGGACGCAACATCATTATGCCACATATGTGCGGTTCAGTGACAGTGGGCTCAATTCGCTAAAGAATATCTCATGAGATAATGTATTATGTGACACATTCTTTAAATTATCTCATGCTATGCTGGAAATGTCCATTCACTCTCACCTTATGAGGTATTTATCTCGAAAATCAAAAATGTTTGGTCAATACCTCGTGAGTTAAATAAATAGTGGTCCCGGCATGAGGTATTTAAGGAATGTAAAAATATAATAGCCAAGTTCGAGTAGTCTCTATTTTTTGGGATCAGTTCTCTCAATGGTAATGCATAGAAACCTAAATATGGAAAAACACAGAATCATTGGAGTTGATTTATTTAAAGCGGTAGTAAACTTTACAAAAAAAAAAAAGATTTCCCCCTGCAAAGTAAAGGCATAATTATACACATTAAACATACTATGAAAGACTTACCTTGAGACGAAGCCTTCCAGTAATGCTCTTCCTGGTTGAATGCCGAGTCACATGGGAGTCATGGCTACGGCACATTGATCTGAAGGAACAGCATGGGTATGCCATTCCCTCAGAGCGCATACTTCGGGGAGGTCACATTTAGGAGATATTCATTTTACCTACAGGTAAGCTTTATTATAAGAAAATTATTTAAAAAATAAAGTTTTTAGTTTTGGACAGAGGGAGAGAAATTAGAATTCCTGTCAGGTATTTTTTATTTGTATCTGTGCCCCCGTTAGGTAGACTCCCCCTCCCTATTTGTCCTGTTTACTGTTATCACTGAAACCGAAAGTAAAAGAAAATCCCAAATTTTGGGTTGTCCACAGAAAATTAATAGAGGGAAATCTTCCAATGGGGATACTAGTTTCGGTGACCTGAGAGTCCTCAAGGGATTCTTTAATTTGTAGGGATTTCCTCTCACCTATTGTTTAGGCTATAGGACAGGAAGCGAAGGTAAATTTTCCAAATTATGTCTTATTTATTGGTAGAAGAAAGATATTTATATGCGTATAAGTGTGATTTTTTTAAATACTATTTTCATTCAATATTTGACATTTATTATTTAACTTTGTTTTTGATATAGCACGTGTGTCCTGTGAAAGGAGCTTCCCTGTGACTGGTATTCCAGTCACCTTTTTTCTTTTTTATTAATACATATGCTGCAGGGACCTTAGTCCGACTTAGTCAGTATATTTCTACGATTTAAACCATTTTACCTCTTTATTAGCAATAAAAACTGACAAGGATTCTAATCGTTCTCCACTGTCCATTCCATTGGATGTTACGGCATGACAGAAATATATCACATTTTGATTAAATAACTCGTGCTTTATTTTAGTAGGTTTTTTGTGAATGTTTTTTTGTGAATTTTTAAAAATGCTATGAGCTATTTCATCTCAGATTTTAAAGAGGAAAATAACTTCGGGAAATTAGCCCACTATTATTTGTAATATTTGAGTGCTATTTTATTATTTTGAATTTTATTAAAAAAACTTTTGAATTGTGTGTACAATTGGAAACTCTTTATGGATTTTGGGGATACCTAAGGAGCATTTACAGTATCTGTAACATTTTACAGTGGTGGCTGCTGGCTGTATTCATTTCCAAATAATCCTGTGTAGGGATTATACTATACACAAGTGCATACTGACATCTAGTACCTGGAGTCCATCTGTATGGTAAATCTTTTGTCCATATTTGGTGGTGGTGATGAAAATTGGCACACCAAGGAGCTTCACTTATTTTGCTACATTATATGCCGAATTGATTAATGATTTAAGTTTTTCTGCACAGGTCATTTCATTTATCTACAAGACAGTGAGTAAAAGCTATATTGTTAAGCATACAGAAGTGCTCAAGCACTGCACTTGTTATATATTGGGCCTGGTTTTCCCCTTTAAATTTTGCGCCCAAAATACTTTTGGGATGCTTTCATCATAAAAAGGGCACTGATCTTCTGGGATCATCATCCTCTATGGTCATCCTTTGTAGCAAGGAGGTATCATTTCCTATCTGCAGTGCATTTTAAACAAGACCTGGGTCTGTTTCTGCAGTTGATGGTTGATCTCTTTCTGCTGTTTTACTGCAGTATAGGTATTCTGAGAGTAAAAAGTTCTGGAAGTCCTGGCGGGGATTTTTCTAGCAACATTGGAAGTCCTGGTAGTGATTCTATGAGCACTATTGGAAGTCCTGACAGGGATGCTGCGTGCACCATTGGAAGTACTGGCATAGATTCTGGAAGTCCTAGCAGGAATTTTGGAATTCTTTGCAGGGATGCTTTAAGCACCATTGAAAGAATTGGCAGGGATTTTGGAAGTCCTGGCAGGGATGCTGTAGGCACCACTGAAAGTACTGGCAGAGACAGCGGAAGTCCTGGCAGGAATGCTGCAAGCACCATTGTAAGTGTAACCTGAACTGTAGTTGATAACGGCTACAGAACTTCTTCCTTTGTTGCTACTATACTATCCTTCCGCAGTGTGGATGGGGTTATTTGTTTTCTTAGCTTATTATATACTGTATTTTTTGCTCCATAAGACCCACCTGACCATAAGACGCACCTAGGTTTTAGAGGCAGAAAACTAGAAAAAAAATATTCTGAACCAATGGACTGCAGACATAGTACAGGAAATGACCAGAGACTGCAGACATAGTACAGTAGTACAGGAGATGACCAGAGACTGCGGACACAGTACAGGAGATGACCAGAGACTGCAAACATAGTACAGGAGATGACCAGAGACTGTGGATAGTACAGCAGCTGACCAGAGACTGCAGATATACTACAGTAGATGACCAGAGACTGTGGACACAGTACAAGAGATGACCAGAGACTGCGGACACAGTACAGGAGATGACCAGAGACTGCGGACACAGTACAGGAGATGACCAGAGACTGCGGACAGTACAGGAGATGACTGCGGACATAGTACAGGAGATGACCAGAGACTGCGGACACAGTACAGGAGATGACCAGAGACTGCAGACAGTACAGGAGATGACCAGAGACTGCGGACATAGTACAGGGGATGATCAGAGACTGCGGACACAGTACAGGGGACGACCAGAGACTGCGGACATACTACATCATATAAAGTCCCAACAGGGCCCCTCCAACCAGAATATCAGATGATCTGACACCATACATCAAGGAAAAGGACTACAACTCCCAGCATGTCATTTTTAACTTACAGAAGGCAAGCTATAGAAGGCAGGGGCACACTGAGCTCCGAGGACAGGCCACACCAGCAGATAGGACCGGACTGCAGAGCAGGGAGCGCACTATGGACACATGCCAGGAAAGGGGAGGAGCTGTAAGGACAGGCCACACCTGCAGACCGGACTGGACTGCAGAGCAGGGAGAGCAGTACATAGACATGCCAGGAGTGGGGAGGAGCTCCGAGAACAGGCCATGCCTGCAGGGCGGACCAGACTGCAGAGCAAGCTGGCTGGGTTTGGAGAGGGGACTGCCTGCTATGAAGAGTAGGGGATAAGGTAGGGTGAACTTCGGTGACAGCCTGCTATGGTTGGGGACAGGCTGCAGTGGGATGGGACAGCCGGTGACAGGTGGAGGACTGGTCAGTATTCGCTCCATAAGACGCACAGACATTTTCCCCCATATTTTTTGGGGAAAAAAGTGCGTCTTGTGGAGCGAAAAATACGGTATATGGTCTACCTGTACTTGGCTTGGTATCAAGAGATCCCCAAACTTTCCACTTAATAGGTGATTTAACAGTACTGATTGGCACTTTGGACATCTTTTTATGTCCTTTTCCATCTTTATAAAGTTCCATTACCTGTTACGCAGGACTTTTGACAGTTCTTTTCTGATCCCCATGGCTCAGTATCTAGCCTAGTCAGTGCTTCCACGTAAGAGCTAACAAACTCATTGACTATTTTATACACTGACGCTAATTGCAATTTAAAAAGCCACATATGTAGGACATTAAACTCTAATTGGCATTTTAATCCGTGTGTGTCCACTTTGTGTGTCTGTACCAAGGCCAAACATTCCAGGGGATGTAAACTTTTGATCATGTCCATTTGGGTGATTTCTGTTATCATTACGGTTTGTAAAAGGAGCCAAACAACTATTTGATAATAAATGGCTTCATATGATCATCATCCTTCAATAAAAGAGCATTTTTTGGCATTGATCAGTCATATTTTCAATATCAATGCCAAAATGTCACAATTTCTGGCAGGGTATGCAAACGTTTTGAGCACAACTGTATATATATATATATATATATATATATATACACATATATATATATATATATATATATATACATATATACACAGTGGGGATCGAAAGTTTGGGCACCCCAGCTAAAAATTTGTATTAATGTGCATAAAGAAGCCAAGGAAAGATGGAAAAAACTCCAAAAGGCATCAAATTACAGATTAGACATTCTTATAATATGTCAACAAAAGTTAGATTTTATTTCCATCATTTACACTTTCAAAATAACAGCAAACAAAAAAATGGCGTCTGCAAAAGTTTGGGCACCCTGCAGAATTTATAGCATGCACTGCCCCCTTTGCCAAGCTGAGACCTGCCAGTGTCATGGATTGTTCTCAATCATCGTCTGGGAAGACCAGGTGATGTCAATCTCAAAGGTTTTAAATGCCCAGACTCATCTGACCTTGCCCCAACAATCAGCACCATGGGTTCTTCTAAGCAGTTGTCTAGAAAATAGTTGACGCTCACAACGCTGGAGAAGGCTATAAGAAGATAGCAAAGCGTTTTCAGATGTCAATATCCTCTGTTCGGAATGTAATTAAGAAATGGCAGTCATCAGGAACAGTGGAAGTTAAAGCAAGATCTGGAAGACCAAGAAAAATATCAGACAGAACAGCTCGCAGGAAATGTGAGAGAAAACAATTCAAAACCTACGTTTGACTGGATGATCCCTCCAGAAAGATCTGGCAGACACTGGAGTTGTGGTACACTATTCCACTATAGATACTTGTACAAATATGGTCTTCATGGAAGAGTCATCAGAAGAAAACCTCTTCTACGTCCTCACCACAAAAATCATGGTTTGAACTTTGCAAATGAACATATAGACAAGCCTGATGCATTTTGGAAACAAGTTCTGTGGACCGATGAGGTTAAAATTGAACTTTTTGGCCGGAATGAGCAAAGGTACGTTTGGAGAAGAAGGGGCACAGAATTTAATGAAAAGAACCTCTGTCCAACTGTTAAGCATGGGGTTGGATAATCATGCTTTGGGGTTGTGTTGCAGCCAGTGGCACAGGGAACATCTCACGAGTAGAAGGAAAAATGGATTCAATAAAATTTCAGCAAATTTTGGATGGTAACTTGATGCCATCTGTGAAAAAGCTGAAGTTAAAGAGAGGATGGCTTCTACAAATGGATAATGATCCTAAACACACCTCGAAATCCACGGGGGATTACATCAAGAGGCGTAAACTGAAGGTTTTGCCATGGCCTTCACAATCTCCTGACCTCAACATAATTGAAAATCTATGGATAGACCTAAAAAGAGCAGTGCGTGACAGACAGTTCAGAAATCTCAAAGAACTGGAAGACTTTTGTAAGGAAGAATGGGCAAAGATACCTCAAAAGAATTGAAAGACTCTTGGCTGGCTAAAAAAGCGTTTACAAGCTGTGATACTTGCCAAAGGGGGCAGTACAAAATATTAACTCTGCAGGGTGCCCAAACTTTTGCAGACGCCATTTTTTTGTTTTCTGTTATTTTGAATGTAGTGTAAATGATGTAAATAAAAATCTAACTTTTGTTTGACATATTATAAGAATGTCTAATCTGTAATTTGATGCCTTTTGGAGATTTTTCTATCCATCTTTCCTTGGCTTCTTTATGCACATTATACAAATTTTTAGCTGGGGTGCCCAAACTTTCGATCCCCACTGTAATTTTTAATATATATTTATATATATATATACTGTGTGTATATATATATATATATTTTTTTTTACTATATATCTATTTGGTTTTGTATTATGTAGCCTACCTGGACTTCGGCTAAACATTTATATTAATATGAATTAATTTAATTAAATTATAGTTGTATTTTTGATTAGCCTTTGATCTATGGAATAATGATGGTTTTGTTTGCATTAATCATGGCACTCAATTGGTTTTTATTGCACTCCTGCTCTCCTATGAAAAAGAATGTGACCTGACTAAAACATATGTAGTGGTTTAGGATAGAGATCCAGTTTTAGGCTTGATAAACATAGCCACTATTTTCAGGCACTAGAGGCCCCTGAAGATGCGCGGTGGTGAGAGAAACACTTTCTTTGGAACTTAACGTGAAGTAATGTTGCCACATCGGAATCCATGTGGCGGCCACTGATGTAAGTGTAATTGTGACTTGTATTGTGGTTTGTTTATCCACAATTTTTTTTGGATGTACTGCATGAGGGAGCTACTTTTATTTTATCTATGTGAAGTTGATCTAATAAAATACTACACTGTGGTTCCTCTATTCTGCTCCAGTATGTGAACTGTGTCAGAGGTCAGAGAACACCACTGCCCCTACTAGAGGAGTGAAATACTTGAATCTGCAGGTCAAAGGCTGGAGCAGTCCTAAAGGGAGCCTTACATATAATATAATCAGGCAGTTTTGCTGTTTATCACTTTGCAGCAGCTCTTTAGCATTTTTGTGATGGTTGGAAGTGATCACATTTACACAAATTTTAAAGACTTTTTCATAATGATTTTATTGCGTTATATATGCACTTGGGAGTTTTTATTATATAATTGACACTTTTTGTTGTGGCACTGCAATACTATACTGTATATTAAATTAATATTCATTAATTCAGAATTACAGCAGCCATCTTTAAGGAGATCACTTGACAGTGCTCATCTATAGAGTATCTCCAGTCCAGGGGGCAGCCAGATGGCTCCCAGCTGTAAAATTAAAGTGATGCAGCTGTAAAGTTGCAGATTGCTTTCACAATGCAGGCAGTGCAGAACCCCCCAGACACCCCCCCCCACCCCACCCCATCTGCCCATGCTATTTCTAGGCTCCCTTCACTCTTAGCAGTAGCCCGTGACCACATCAATGGGATTCAACATGAAAGGTGGGAGGAGACTGAAAAACATCCAGTCCTTGATCTCCTCTACCTTGAATAAATCTGGAAGTGATGATGATTTTATCAAGTCCAGTTTCAAAGCTGTAATTTTCTGGCTTTAGCTTGTAACTGAGCTGATATCTGCTTGGTTACTTGCTGTGGAGGGCCGGAGAGACTTTGGGGTCTATTAGTCCCCAGTGTCTCCCATAAAGAGTACCTGTTACCTGCCCAATGCTATCACATGGGGGCTTGTTAACCCCTTGTGATAGCAAAAAAGTTAAATAAAGAAAATAAATTAAAAAAGTAAAAAAATAGGATTATAAAAAATGTAATACAAAAACGAAAAAAAAAAAATGTAAACGTAACTCCTGCTGCCTTGCACACATCAATAAATGCATACATGGCCCAGGGTGCACACATGTATGTAAACCATGATCACACTACACATGTGAGGTATCACTATGAACATTGGAGTGAGAGCAATAATTTTAGCACTAGAGCTCATAGTTAGCTCTAAACTGATGAACTATAAAGGCACTAATGGGCACTGACAGGCATCACTAATGGACACTGACAAGAATCACTGATGGGCACTGATAGGCGGAAATGATGGGCACTTATAGGTGGCACTGATTGGCACTGATAGGTGGCACTGATGGGCAGCACTGAGGGGTACTAATAGACTGCAGTGATGAGGAAACACCAGTAGGTGGCACTGATGGGCATTGACAGGCAGCACTGATGGGCACTGAAAGTCAGCATTGATGGACACTGAGAGGCAGCACAGATGTGCATTTGAAGGGGCTGCACTGATAATCAGAGCAATGATGAGCAGTGCCCTGATTATTATCAGTGTTGATTGTCCCTTGTGTGGATTGCCTCTTATCGTCTCTCCTGTCCTCACGCACTGTCAGCATGAGGAGATGACTGCTGATAGCCATCATTTCCTTTTTTACATGTGATCATCTGTGATTGGACATAGCTAATCACATGGTAAAGAGCCTACATCATTTGCTCTTTACTGCGATCGGTGATCTGCTGTGTCCTAGGGACACAGCGCACCACCGATTGCAATTTCCGCGTGACCCAGGGGGCACACATGCATAGCTAGAGTGAGAGGACATCATATGAACAAAAACAAGAGAGCTCCCGTGTGTCCGTCAGTTCCCAATATGGCAGGCTGGAGGCGGTTAAAGCATCACCTATGGAGATTTTTGGGTACCTTAATCCTTTGCAATATCATTGGTGCACGCATTTTTAAGACTTGACATGTTTAGTATCTATTTACTCAAC